GAGAGAGAGAGAGGAACAGACTGAAATAAATAGAGAGAGAGAAAAAGAGAGAGAGAAAGAGAGAAATGAACAAACTCAGATAGATAGATAGATAGATAGATAGATAGATAGATAGATAGATAGATAGATAGATAGATATGACGAAAGTTAGATAGCAAGAGAGGGTGATGGTAGAGAGAGAAAAACAAGTAGAGAATATCAACAGAGTGAAAAAAAATGAATCGACTATATAATGATAATGGTAATGATAGATAGATAGATAGATAGATAGATATTGTGGCACCATTTACCAGGGCAGAAAAAGAAAAGAAAGGAAAGAAAGGAAAAGAGAGGCGAAGACCCAAAGCGTGGATGGTAAGCAGAACACCCACGGCTAAGAGACAATGGATAAAGGATATTTTGATATGTAACAAATGGCGAAGAGTGTCATTACAATGGCAGGGAAATTCTGAGTGGATAAAGGAATTGTGTGTGTTCTGGCGACGAGCTGTGTTATCGGGATACATAAACAAACCGCTAATGCGGGAAGGCATCTCATTAGCAAACCACAGACCGACTAGCCAAAGAAAAGTCCAAATGAAAATGTTATTTTGATAAGTGACGAAAAACAGGTGGACTACAGGGCTTTGGATAGATATGAAAAATTAATTGTGTCAAAAGCCGCACACGAGGTGGCCACTGACCGATTTCTTTCGACAGAACATCTTTAGCCTGCGACAATAAAACTATGTTATCAGAAATATGTATCAAAAAAATGAATGGGAACCTAGAAATGTTACTGTTCGAGGCGACGGTCTGGCCGTGTTAAAAAGACCACCCATTCTGATAATTAGCGATAAGATGACTGACGAAGCCCAGGTGAGAACAAGAGTTATGACCACCATCGATCGTTTTGTTCTGTTTGCGGCTAGAGAAAATGATAACTGCGATTAAAAGAAAGAAAAGGAAAAGAAAAATATAATTTTTTTTTTTTGTTAAGCAGGATATTTTTTTTCCTGAAACAAAGCCGCGGGATCGTACACACCCGACTAGACATCACTGGTCGAGTGGTGATCACGTAACGCAAGGAGGAGGCTGTCGCCGCCCATGTAGAGGATGGGTATGAGAGGTTGCTACGAAGAAGTGGGGAGGGCAGTTCACGCCCCTCTGAAGTATGGTGAGAAGGTGGGAGTAAGAGAAGGCTCCCAAAAATGGAAAAAAAGTGGAAAATTCCTAACCAGAAATAAAAGAGGTGGATATGTATTTAGAATTATCGACTACCCCCCGGCGCCGACAAACCCACCCCGGTTTTGGTAGGCGTCCATATAAGCGAAGTCGCAGCGAGCAGAAATCAGTTCGAGTTAGAGTTTCAGTTCCAGTTCCAGCAGAGAGCTCGAAGTTCGCAGTGGAAGTTGGTTCCACCTCGCAGATAGCTGACTTGAAAGATTCACGCAAATCCCGGACTCCTCTTCAATCCAAGAACAATTAATTTGAAGAGCGACTTAGATCCAGACCACCAAGATAAGTTTTTTTCGACTTTCGCCCGAAGACACACCGAAAAACCCATTTCTTAAAGAGCAAACAACTTGAAGCGTTAAAACTCGCCTAACGGGAAACAACGTGTCACAATCCATAGAACGGGTCGGGAAATAGACACAGTCCTATATATCCAACAACTAGACATAAAGTTTGTTATTCTTTTTTTTGATACCTTGAATTTTTGAGTTATCATTTTATTTTCTTTTATGCATATTTGTGCGGTGTCACCCCCGTTTGAACCCGATTTGCATTACAGCCCCAACTACTGATTGATCTCGTCTGCCTAAGATCAATTCACAACGTGGGTAGGCAGACTGGAGATCAGTTCAGTTACTTTGGTAACCAGGCGTTGGAAGAGAGTTGGGAACGACGAGGCTGATATCGAATCTAACCAGATTCCCATCCGAATCACAAAAAGGTTAGAACGTCACACTTGGGTGCCGCGACCGATACCAAGCCAGTTGGTCGTCACAGGACGAGACAACACGACTGACGCGACAGGCGGACGTCACGTTTGGAGCGGCGACACCCGAACGGAGCAGCGAGGAGCGAGCGAAGGCTGCGTTTAAGGACGTCGCAGCTGACGCCGCGACCAAAGGACGTCACAATATGACGAAAGTTAGCAAGAGAGAGAGAGATGGGAGAAAGGGAAAAACAGACAGAGAATATCAACTGAGTGAGAAAAAAAAACATGAAAAAATGAATAGACTATATAATGATAATGGTAATGACAGATAGATAGATAGATAGATAGATAGATAATAATCAGACTTAGATATTAAACGGACTTGTTCAAACCATCCTTTGTCGCTGTGCACCTTTTTTGACTAAAGATTTGCCGTTGCGTGATTGAACTACCCCCGTCCTTACGGTTACGTTTAGTGGTGATGTAACGCTCTTCCACTTCTGTTTTCCGCAGCTCAATGCCTTATTCAGACATGAATTCTTGCCCAAAATAAAGATATCACTTCAATACAATTAATTATTAAAGAATTTAGTCATTTTACAATGAAGCCAATAATCTGAGTATGAATGAATATAGAAAAAAAACTATACTTAACCACTTCACCGCCAATTATTTTGGGAAAAACGTTCCATTTGCAGACGAAGTTTTGTTTTTAATGTAGCAACTAAGAAACTGGGGCACTTTGAAGTTCCGGAGCGGTGACTAACACCTCCACCGGACGTATGAGTTGAAAAGTTTCAAGGTCATAAAATTGGACTCGTTTCAAGGGCATAAAAAGAATCAAGGTCAACTTATAAACACGTCTGTAGCTGATTTCTGAACCTTATTTTGGGGGCGTGTTTCTTCGTCCGTGTTTGAAAAAAACAATTTGTCAGTAAAACGTATATACACGTCTATGCCAGAAATAGAGGTTAAGTGCGTGGAGACAATAAAAATGTACACTATTTAAGTACAAGAGAAGAAACTCTTAGCATAGAACTTACGGTTACATCTAGCAATTTCATCTGAAACCTAACTGCCAATCTAGTACAGCGCTTAAATTCGTGAAGTCGATGTACGAAAGGGAAGAGATCATCAGAACATTTACTGTGAAAATATACGCAGAAAAGCAATACTACAGTGGTAGGAAAGTGACTGAAGCCGAGATGCCAGGTGTAAACTTCTAACATTGCAGATTCTTCTTTGGATTTTACCAAGAATCTCCAAGTGTGGCAGCACTATCCGATACATCGATGAATGGTTGTTTTATAAATGTGCATGATATATACTGGTGAGGCAAAATGTATAGGTCGTCATCGTGATCGGACTTTGCTAGCATCGAACGTAGCAGTGGATTCAATATAATCGTTCCATTTCTGTTCAATTGAAAATGTTAGACCAAAAAAGCTCATTCAGCCACAGAGAACTTTCCGGTTAGTAAAGTCCAAATTACTGCTTATAGACATCCTGTGGCTGAATGGTTAACAGCACGCCAGGCCAAATGACGGTTTCCAAATAGGATACAGGTACGGCTCCTGCCAGAGAACGCATATTTTCTACGAAATTCCTCTATCATTCAGGACGGTAACTGTAATTAATAGTGTTTTATTAAAACAGGATTTTCTCAAATAAGTTGTATCCATAAAAATAACGTAAAAACAGAAAATATATTAATATAATCCTTTTCTATTCATTTTAAATTGTAATTTAATATTTCATTCTTCATATAACCCGATATTAATGTCAGAAGGTTAGTATATAGGTTTAATTTTATAAAACTTCTTCCCTTTAAGAAAAATAACTTCCAAGCACCCTGATCGCTGTCTCGTGCTTTTCGTCTGACTGAAACATTAAAGTGAATAAACTCTGTATTAATTTTTCGACTGGTGTTATTTTTTTTATTTTTTTTTTTGAGCTTTCACTGTTACATTTCTAATTCTGACACGACTTCAGTCTCCATCAGAGTTGATAAGAGAGACAACCTATATCTATATATATCTGCCGAAATAGGCTATTCCCCATATGAGGTGATTTTAGATTTTGTTGTTTATTAATTATTTACTCTGTAATAATAAATACATCGAGCTCTTTTTTTGGATCAGTTTTAATATTTTATATTACTAGGATCTACTTGGATTATATACCAACGTATTTGTTACCTTTACGATATATATATATATATATATATATATATATATATATATATATATATATTGTGAGACCGGAAACTACCTACACAATAGACTCTTCCAGGCCTATATTAAGTAGGCGACATAACACTCTAGAGAGAGACAGGGAGTGACACAGAGAGTCGCGTACGACTACCAGTATTGGACACTAACATATAGTAAGCTCCGCTTACACTATCTCTGTAACCTGTTGTTAATATATCTTTCTTACACGTAATCCGTGTTCCGTGTTCTCCTTCTGTGGTCCCAACTTTATTACATCAATATATATATATATATATATATATATATATATTATTATTAGTAGTAGTAGTAGTAGTAGTAGTATTTCATTTGCGCAGTAATTATTGGGAACTGAACAATATCAGTGATAGAGCTAACATATTCAGTTGTATGGATATGAGATTTGACCCTGGGTTTCACATATTTGCAATCATCAGACAGAAAAGCGAAATATATGTAAACGTAAAATATATATATATATATATATATATATATAATATATATATATATATATATGTAAACGGGGAAACAAATTATGAGAAGAAAGTCTGTCGCGGATGACGTGAATGAATGGATAGGGAAAAAATATAATAATAAAAGTTATAACACCAAAGATGCTAAAGACACGGCACCGCAAGCCGAAGCAAACAGTCCCTTTGTTTACAAAGAGCGAGTCGCCTGGGCCTTATGAACAACGTCTCCAACACATTCAGATGGAATAACGAGTGTGCTCTGGCCAGAAGAGAGAATCAGCTCACTCTAAAATCCATAGCACAGGTCAGATTATTAATCAAGTGATCCGCTATAGAAGATCCGTATGTATTTATCATAATTTGTTTCCACCTTTATAGTTCTCACGAGAGGGGACGAAACCGGTCAACTTTTGTCTGTGTTTTTTATTTTAAAATTTATCATGGCCTATAATAAAAAATTTCTTGCCTTTAATGCCATAATACGTTTTTGTACCCTTCGAAACATATATATATATATATATATATATATATATATATATACAGATAGATAGATAGATAATATTAGTGGTAAATATACACATACATATGCAATCATATCTCTAAAATATATAAATATATATACATACATACATACACATACATATATATTTGTATAAAAAATAAATCCAAGAGGATAGAATCCAGGTAGAACTCAATGTCCAGAACAGAGTAAGGATATAATAAAAAGGCTTAAACATTAATATTCCATGGTCATAATTTATTCCATTGGAATCGTAAATACGATCCAATTCATATATATATATATATATATAATTATATATATATATATATATATATATATATAACGTCATCCACAAACAGACTGTTTCGCTGTTTCACAGCTCATCAGTGCGGCTAGACATCCGGTTGCCTCTAGCTAGGATCGAAACCCGACTGACTTGGTGCCAGTCGGAGATTCTAAAGGGTGCCATATAAGGATGGGACGCTTTTTAAATGCAAGTATGCTGGGTTAGAAACATGTCATAGAATACCAAATATATTTATTACATAACTGATATACAAGAGTTCGACATATTATCTGAGATTTGAATATTACATCCCAGAGATGGCAATCACTACGAAGTGAACATTCATGTGCTCGTTCTTTTATTTCAGGCACAGATGACATTGCTTGTCGCATGAAAGTTTGTAACAACACACAGGATCACCATTCAGGATCGTGCCTATCGCTTTTCCACGCAGTTGCAAAACTAAAACAAAGCATCCGTAGAGAGATCGCAGCCATTCCAGTTGATATGCTAAATAGCACTGTGTTTGAAATAAGAGAGCAAGCTTGTGCACGCTTTCTTCATGATGCCTAGGAAAACTGAGAAAACATTACTTAGGAGAAAGACTAATAAAAGGAACATGAATAAAAAAAAAAAAGATGGCGACTCGTGTTGCATTTAAACTTTTGGAGGTCGTAGTCGACAGGAAAGCCAAGAGCTAGAAGAAAGTTTTACAGACGAGAATGTACGAAGACAAATACTATTCTTTCTCTTCTTGCGTCATACACATACATACACACAAACCCATTTGAAAAGACGCTCATACCAGAAGTGCCAGAGAAAACACCGTTAGAACAGAACTTATAATTACACTTATACTGAACAAGTTCAACATTAAAATGAGGTTAGCGCCAATTACTTGAATTTTGTCAGGAATCTCTAGATATATAAGTTACATAGGTCTCTGGTGGCGGTGGTCTAATTTCGTCTTCTCTCGGCCGGCGATCGCCAATTGTTTTGGTTCAGCAATGAAAGACTTCGAACACAGAGAATTTTAACTTAACTGTTTTTATTACCCATGTCGACATTATCTAAACATTCACTGGGAGACATACCAAACTGGGGAGCCGTTTCAGACACGAAAGACAACACCTCTACATCGCTTGACGGGTAAGAACCAACATGATGAAATATTTCTCCTATTTATCTTTCCCACGCTAGTTCATCCAATTAAAATCGACTTCCCTATTATGGATCACTTCTGACCTCGAATGTCAACCTCTGGAAGTTGGAGCTGAGATATACTTCTCTTAAAAATAATAGTCTGCTAGACAATTTTTAACACATAGCAGAATCTTCAGACCAGATGTGGCAATTTTTCTTTTTTTAATAAATGAAAAGAGAAATTTATTTACTGAAAAAAAAGTTTGAACAAAGTAACTATAAACATTTTTTTCTATCTTCTGCCAGCCGCAATGATGGAGAAAGCATTACCTCGAACCATCGCCAGTGAGACACGCTGCAAGAGCCACTCTGATTCGCGAGGCTCGTCCCTTAATCGAGACGCAATCGCGCCAATCTTCCGAAGGAACGCCATTGAACGAGGGCCAATAACCCCAGAAGTCTCCACTGCCAAATGAGTAAAAAAAAAAATCTATCAGAAAGAGAAGAATATTTAACATTTTTTTTTTATCTCTGCGTCCCGGGCGACGGACCCCGGCTCAACCGCGGACCTGATTAAATTACCGACCGAAAATGTATCCGCACAGGTCGCATCCCAAATCAACGACTCTCGCATTTTAAAAGGGAAAATAGTAATGCCATCCGGCTGCTTTCCATCACCTTGCAGAAGACGTAGTGATTGAATCGATATAATCCAATTCATATATATCAGTTGAAAACATTAGACC